TTTTTTGTTAATGATGAATGGATACTCCCTTTCCTTTATCCTTCCCAAGCAAAAGGACAACTTATTTCGGTAATGTAGCTGGTTTTAGTATGGTAAACAAACTATACCTCTAGATGCTGCCTATTGCTTAAAGCATAAAGCCTTACAGATTTCCTGGTGCCAGAATAAAGGTGGAAGCAAATGAAAGAAGAAATATCATATCCAGTGTATCATGAGACAAAAGCATCAACGTAACATAATGAGAAATAAGTTGAAATGAGAGTTGATTGAAACACTGATCCATTTTCTTAAAATCATTTGATTTCAATGGATTAGACTTTAAGCCACGGACAAACTGATGTGACCTGCTTCAACCTCTGGGCAGCCCAGAATTGACGGCTCTGGGGGAGCCAGTCAGGAAGACCGCAAATGCTTTGTAGCATAGTTTGGAAGCTTGCAGGTGAGGATGCTAATGTCACCTTTCTTAAGGAGAATGCTGCTGCTTTATTTTCGCTCAGAGTCAGAAAGAAATCAAATATGAACAACTTCCATGGGGAAAGGCTTATCTTTCTCTGCATGTCTGTAATTGGAATTCTTATTCCATTGAAGTTAACGTCAAAATTCTCCTTTACTTCAGTGGGGACTGGATTCACACAGGTGCAATGCACAAGGTTGTTATACAGTCATATGCAATGTACAATCAGAATTGTAAGCTGCGTGGTCAGTTTAGCAGAAAAAGTGGTAAGTACAATAAACGAACAATTCATGTTACGCTGGTGAATTATCCTCTAGTGACTGTTCAGCTACATTGGTCAGAATATTTGGATATGGCAGATTATTAAAAATGTTCTGATTGAATTACTTCAAGATCATCTCTCATTCCTATTGCTAAAAGTTTATTTTAAAATCAAAGTTCTTGATTAGGTCTCCTGCTGTTTAATAATGAGAAAATTGTTAATAGCATATTGTTTATCTCTTTCTTACCCTAACTATGAACTTTATCTTTTTTTTTCAAAAAAGGGGCATAATTACATGTGTTAATATGATTATCATGGTATGTGTGAATATCTGGAACAGAACCATTACTCCATTCAGTACATTGCCTACTCTAATTTGCTTGGAATTATGCATTACTGTGTTTATTGCTTTTTGACAACATATTTTCAACCCTAAAGCTAAGCCTTAGCATTTGAATGCTCAATTTCCCTTTGAAATTAGGGATTTTGCAATTCCATGTCATATTCTGTCTATTGTTGTTGATGCTATTTGTTCTCATCCAGCAGGTTTGAAAATCTGTGGGTGAAGACAATAAATAACAGCTTTGTAGTTTTTGAGATGTGGATTTCTTTTTAATATCTAGTCTATCCAGACATTTGTTTCTGTAATGAAATCTGTAGGAAACTGATTTTCCCAGTACATTCTACAATTTTCTATATTCAGTTTTAATGCATTATCTTTGGAAGTAAATTAAAAAGAAAAGCTACTCGCAACAACCCTGTAATTTATTTCTCACGTTAAAACAATAAAAAAGTCTCAGCGAATAGATATAGTAACATCTGATAATGATTTAGAGTCAGCTATTAAACTGAAGACAACTGCTGCTTGTTGAGACTCTGCATGTATATCCCACTTCTGAAGAATAGCCCTAACTCTTAGCCATATTGCATGGAAGCAGATGAAATTGGTTCACACAGCTGTGATGTACAGCTGTAATGCTGTAATGATCCCTCCTAAAAAAACACACAGAACTACGATCACAGAATCACAGAATGGCCAAGGTTGGAAGGGAACTCTGGAGATCATCATGATGATTTTTATCATTGAGGCTCAGATTTCAGGAGCCTTATGTGGGCAGAGCTTTGTCATGGTAGTCACATTTGCCTCTTAAGGGATTGGGATATATCAGCTTTTAGCAGAACCCCATGCACAAATTCCTCTCTTCTTCCCCTTTAGCAGACAAACTCTACTCTCCTTTTCAGCTTCTTTCTGCTTGTCTTCTCTGAAATCACTAAGATGCCTAAGATGTAACCAGAGTTCAGGTGGTCTGTACTGTGGTTACAATAGGTTGCAATGAGTTATTAGTAGAAAAAACTGCAATAAACTGAAGGCTGAAAATTTGGAAAAAGGGTAAAATAAACTTAATTAAAGGTAAAATGAAAACCTCATAGGAGCCTACAGCACTGATTGCATTATTCGTTGCATCTAATTTGTTTAAGAGTCTCCACTTTAAGAGAACATAAAACAGCAAGAACTTCTGGGTTGCGCAACATAAAGGGGTTATGCAATCCAAGGACTTTGCCTTAGAGTTTGCACTCTCTTTCCTGAACAAGTAATTGTCTTCTTTATCATCTCTTATTTTATCAGCTATTAACAGAAGAGAAATGTTTGAACTGTGGCACACCAATAAGTTACCTTAGAAGAAGAGTTATTAGATCTAAAGGAGGTGCAAACAGAAGCACTGGAAATAATGTAGCTTCTCGCATTTATGAACACAAATGTTCTTCCTTTTCTTTCTTTCATTCCCAATTTCATTCACTCTGTAACTTTAATAGCTCTCTTAATCTCTGAAAAATGCAATGTATGAAAAGAGTATTCAACCTTTAAGGACTATTAAAGAAATGTATGCCTAATACCTCATGCAAAGGGATCGCCATCTCCTGACAAAAAATCGCTGTGCATAGTAGGAAAATGAGGAGAGAAATAATATAGTAGGAAAATAAGGAAACAAATAATATGGAAGACACAAGTTTCTGACAGCACTCCCACGAGACAATAGCATTTCAGCAGAGGTTAGTTTGGTTTGTTGTTTCACTGACAGTCTAAGTTCCAGTTCAAGCAGAGCAGGGCCCCTCTGGCAAGCTCCTAGCGAGGACATTTCCCTTGAGTGAGAAGAGCCTTCAACAAGCTCTCTGGTTTTAGGGAACCTCCTACTCCTTGCCCACGAGCCCATGGATGTCTACAAATAGTTGAGAGCGCACTGGGCATCCGTTTTGGTTGTACTGGCTGAAAACAGTACTCAGATCACCTTAACCTAGGCCCAAGGCTAACGCAAAGACCGCAGGAGTCATGAGCTGTTCCCTTCTGCTTAACCAGCAGTGCAGAGCAGGTACAATAGAGGAGCTGCCTTGGAAGATTTGGATTTCATTACCTGTTAGCAAGCTTGCAGACCCAGAACAATCAGGTGGAAACAGTATCAGCTACCACCGAATAAATGCCTAATGGGAAAAACCACTGTAGCACAACTCATCCTGCAATAAGGTTGCTGAAGTGGAATAGTGTAAACAGGATGTGTATACAGACAACAAGAGATGGACAAGGAGAGAGATTTAAAGGCTATCCTCGTAGGAAATGGCATATTAGGTTCAGGAAAAACGTTCAAAGGAAAGATCCTCTGCCTGGTACCTGTTGCACCAGGGCCAACCCAAAGAGCCTGTGAGAATCAGCTTAAATGCTGGCTGTTTAGTTTCCTGAAGACATGAAATGCTGAATCAAGAAACCCCCTCCAGAGTGAACCATCACAGCAGCAGGCTCAGGCCTATGTATGAAATTCATGACCTGAACCTCTTAGCCCATGACTCTTGCACACAGTGCCGGGCCAAGAAGAATAGATCATTCTTCTTTGAAGTAAACAAGCAAACGGGGAAAAAAAAGAACGGAATACAAGCGTTTCAAAACCTATGCTCTTCATTATTAGACATAATATACTGACAGTCTGTAAATATTTTTTGGCAAAAGTGCTTAAGTATACTTTATCCTAATGTGTTCTGTGTTTTCTGCTTTAATTTAATGCCTAAATCAATAGCTAATTATAATTTGAAAAGAAAAAGAGATTGCGCTGGATATGCTCTGTTGTTAAATTGTAATGTGATTAGTTGGCTTTATGGTGTTTTCATGTGTTGTCTACACCAATTCCAGAGTCACCATAAGAATCAGGAAATAAACTTACCGCAAATCATTTCGATACCACGTGGAATTGTCACAGAAGCCCTTTGTCTGTGCCTGGTTTTGATATCTACCTAATTGCTGACACTCATTTGTCCAGGATTTAAAAGGGTGCCTGTTCTCAGGACTTACAACCAGATGCAAATCAGGGAAACTCTATGCAGGCCCATAGTCATTTAGGCAATGATTATTAACGCAATGTATCCTTGGACAATCTGAGAGTACAACTGCCATCACAAATAAACTCTGTGTCCTTCTCTAGGCCTATCACGCAAACTCACATGCTCACACAAATACACAGATATGAGAGAGGTTTTGTCCCCCACCCTGCAAACCTGTTAAGAAATGGACAATTGGATATGTAAAAAATTCTCCTCTTTGATTTTTGTGCTCACCAGTCATTAAAAGGTTACTTTTCAGAGCAGCACAAAGAAAGAAGAGCTGGTTGACCAAACATTTTTTTTTTCTTACAAAGAAGTGTCAACCCTGAGCTTGTAATTAAGAAGTTAAACTCTGTGATTTATATATATTTATATATTTAAAAATAGATGATCATACTAAGACTAAAAAAGTGAAAGAAATCTCCATGTCAGTACTACATATTTGTTGGTTTTGAATTTTTGTAGAAGAAATCCTTGTGATACACAAATTAACTGATATGAAAGATGTAGTTAGATGTGAAACACAGTATTGATCCAGTTGCTGTTGTTAGTCCATTAGAGAATTGCCATCGTGGTAGGATAATGAACATAGTAGCAGAAAATTCTAATCGATGTCAGAACAGTGACAAAAGGAAAGAGATTATATCACAAGAGATTATTTCCTGTCCAGACCCTTGAGGGGAGATTTGTCAAGAGAGTTATTTAGCATCACCACCATTGTTGATGTGAAGCTAAGTGGAAATCTGTGCCAATTATATAACATGGATAAATACTAAAAGAAGCTAGGCGAGATCGTGCTACTACTCATTTTTTTACTGGGCATTAAGATTTAGATCCTAAACAACTGTAACATGATATTCTGAAGCTAGTGGAGTTACTCTAGTACTAAAAGACAAACTTATTTTTCAGCTTCTTTACCTTCATACCAATTTGATGTGGTTGGCAGATGGAGTGCAAGACATTCACCGTTGAGACATACTCTTTGTGTTGAAAAAAAATCTAGACTTCCCTACAATAGCAACGATCATTCTGATAACCTAAATCATTGTACAGAAGTTCCTAAAGGAAATCTGGCTGCCAGTGAAGAATGGTTGCATTTTTTGTTCTTTTCTGTCTTTTTCTTTTTGTTTATTTTCTATTGAAATGCAGCAGCCTTGGGTTAGGCCTGATTCAGAAGGAAAATTCTTTTCTTGGTTTCTTTCTCCCTCTTTTTTTTTCTTTTGTTAAGAAAAACATACACTGTAAGGTCCTTTTACTTCTGCAGCATAAAAGGAAATGAAGCTCAGAAAGTCTCTTGTAATAAAGATTTGAGAAAGAATTATCTCAAGAGTGGATATTGTCTTCAGAGATATCTGAAAAAAAACAGGAAGCAGTTCAGTCTGGCACCTGGTACTCTTTGGGAAAACAAAAAGGGAAGCAGGTTGCAGTACTGCTCTCTTCTCATAGAAAACTGTAAGCATTTGAGGCATGGTCCATTGTCCAAGAGTATATAAGAAAAGAAGAAAGTTGGATGTTTTTGTAGCTAAAACACAGTTTCTCCAACGAGATCCAGGATTATCTCCACTGTCTCTGCAGTACGAGGATGACGAAGATGAGGAGCAATGTTGGCAGTGATCGACTAGGCTGTGTGGCTGAAGCCTCCACCTCCCTCCTGTCCGAGTCGACAGGTGGAGCTTCAGTTGTGACAAAATCAAACTCGGTGGGACAGATGTCATCTGTACAGCCACTTCCGCTTCCTGAGCCGCTGGTTTCATCACCTGGCACAAGGAAGTGAGAAAAACAGCATGAGGGCCCCACAGTAAAGTGCTCATCTCTTCTCTCCATTCCTGTCCTTAGGAAGGAACCAACACCACCTGTCCCAGAGGGGGCAAACACTTTGGGAACTCGAAAGTGTTTATGGTGCTAACAGCCACTTTATTCAATAAAGCATCCAAACAAAAGCCATTGTGATTTAATCAGAAATGTCTTTCTGAAAAAAGAGTGGATTGCCAGCATTATGTAAATCAGTGTGTGTCTTGATGCATTTGGTTTGCTGATAAGCAAGAGATACAAAAGAAACTAACATAATTGGAATGTCATGGGACAGAAAAAGACTTTTTTTAATGTTGTCAACAGTAGAGAACACAAAGACCAAGAAAAGCCTTTCTAATGGAACTGGTAGATATATTTATGAAGTTATTTCAGATATAAATGGCACAAACAATTGTTTAATGGCACAAACAATGGTTTCTTACTTGTATCCTGGAAGTTGACATCATTTCCATTATACGCGTTCTTCAGTTTGTTAGTCATGACACGTAATGCCATGATTTGTTGTCGAATGAAGGTATCTGGTCTTGTGATGTCCACATCTACTTCTGGATTGTTGATCTGGTTAGTCAAGCCATCATTCATAATCTCAGGCAAGTATCTAGACAGCAGAACGAATGATTAGTTGAAAATACAGTACATTTCAGAAATAAAGACTATACAGCAAATGCTGTGCTAAGCAATTTGACGGTGATAACAATTGCACAGTTCTTAAACAGCTCCAGTGAAGACATTTTAGAAATATGTTTTTAATTTTGCAGACTCTTAACGGCTCTTTTTAGTAGCCTGCTTGCAGGGAAACCAGAAAGAATTTAAGCTATCCCACCTCCTAACTCTCCATATACTACCCAGCAAGTACACTGATTTTGTAAACTATGGATGAGATTCACTAGCCAACTGCATGTTCACTAGTCACTGCATGTTCAGATCCTGTGTTGATATAACTGTTTGTACACTAAGTTATAAAGCTAATGTTACTCTTCTGTTTTTACCTCTTTGTACTCAAAAATTATGCACTCTTCCGTTACATATTTGTTCTGAGATGCTTCAGAAGACCTTATGGCTCTCCCCTTGTTTAAAGGAGACATCTAATTCGTTTGCTTCTCCAGTTCTTCTTTGCATCCCTTTTTCAACCACTGTGAACATCTCCAACCTGTCTGACATCCAGGCCCATAAACAGGGCCTGTGAGTTTACAAAACTCCAGCATTATCTTTTATTTATCCCTTATTCCTTATATATCTTCACTCCTAAATATAAGCAGGCTAAACTTGTATCTCATATATGCGGTGTGCGTAACATATTTAAGATATGACATTTCCTATCCATCCACACATCGGAAATTCTTATTCAGGCTCTTAGCTTATCATTTCTTGATTACTGCAGCACTCCCCTCTCTGACCTTGATAAATGCAGTCTTACACTGCTCACAGTCATTCAGCGCACTTTTGCAGCTATAACTCTAGCTCAAAAATCAGCCCATGTCTCTGATCAACCTATGGTGACAGTCTTCATCTTTTGTTAAATATGCACACTTTGCCCCCGATGCAGTCTGTACTCAGAGAACTCTCTTTATAAGCATCTGCAAAGCTACCTCTTTTCTTGCTTTGACTCTCTATTAAAAATTATCTATGCTTTCTACAGCTGCTGGGCTGATGAAGTGTTGATATTATTTCTCTGTGCTGGCATGGTAATCCTGAGAAAATATTGTATCACTGTTTCCTTGTAATCTCTTGTCTATCTTTATTCATTTGCTTTCTTTGTCTCATTTAAATTGCAAAGGACTTGGGGAAGATCTATCCCCTTGTTCATGTTCATTATCAGGACGTGATCTATTTGGCAATTAGTTTACAAAACAGGCTATCCTACTGATGTTTGTGGGACTTCTCATGTGGGTGAATGCTCAGCAAGTAATGATAGCACAGTCTAGCCTACTAATGGCAAACTTTCATGCTGTATGGTGCCAAATGTAGTTTCAGAAGTATTATACTTCACTCTCACTGGTGCCAGCCCAAACCTCTATCAATATTCAAGTTTGGCTCTGGTGCCAGTGTTTTGCTCCTGCTTGGTCTGGAAGTAAATATATTCCTTAAACATAAATGTGAAAGTAAGAGAGAAGAAAGCATTTTCTCTGCTGAAGCCATGGTTAAGGGAAAATGAGTTTTGTATTGCTCCTGGAGGTTCACAAAATGATGACTGCTTTGCTGTGCCAGGGAAGGGTTTAGTCACATCATAATAGGTACTTGCTTTGCAAGATGAGACTCATTTGTCATCAGTGGCCTTTGAAAGCTTACAAGAGAATAATCCTGGGGGAGTGGGGGACATACAAGCATGAAACAAGGCTGCCAAAAATACCAGGCCTCAAATTGCATTTCCTGATGTTTTGCTAGCAGCATAAGAAGCAATAACAATGCTGTAGGGATCCCATCCAGGCTCCTGTGGTACAGTCTTAACTACGGGGAGGATACAGAGCTACCTCCCATAGTACAGAGAACTGCACATCGCAGTGTTATGAATCACCACAGAGAGAAATTGGATTAATTCTGCAGAGCTGCCTGGATGCAGCAGGATGGAGACCCTGGCACAATGGGAAGCTTGGGGCGAAAGAAGAACAGCACCTCCATCTGTCACATGTCTCTACAAATTAAACGGCTGCTGCAGATAAATTGCTCAGCCTGGAAGTAAATCAGTGACTCCAAGGTGCAGTTGATTAAAAAATGTAAGAATGTTAAGAATTGCCTCCCAACTCAGAGAGGTTGTCCATCTTGCCTAGTATCTTGTCCATGACAATGGTCATAGCTATTAGTAGCTAAGAGTGATTTGAAATCTCTGAGAGTCTGTGTGGATGGCTTTCCTTCTTTCTTTGCGAAGCGTTAGCTGCTCCTTATTACAACCATGCATGAGAAGCTATAGCTACCTCTGAACTGCAGTTCACAGGCTTTCTTTGACTGAGTTATGTTTGATTTCATCTTGTCTCATCGTCAGTAATAAAAAGAAGAATGTACTGAGTTAGCAGGCTTTTTATATGGAGAGGATATGAGTTATTTTGGACACTTAATGCAGTTAGAGAGTGTTCTGGTGTGTGCTTTTTATGGAGGCTCAAATTTTGCACTGTGATCAGTGTGGATCTGATGTCCATACGGAGATCATTTAACTTTAAATGGGGCAGTCCATTGAGTTGTAGAGACTCAGTCAGTTGGTCATTCCTCTTTCAGGATCCGGTGACACCCAAAGCACTCGTAGCATGGAAAGCCTTACCATTTTAGCTTGTTTTGATACAATTGCTTTAAAATTAAAAAATGGAATAAATTATACACAAAGGAGAGATTTTGCAACTTATTAGCAAAGCAGAGGTGGTGTTATACAAACTGTTGAGAATACAGGATCAACAGCTTCACTACAACAAATCTGTAAGAGAAAATTTTCTTTCAAATAGAGGAAATATAAGGTGTGGTGAAACGATTAGTTTCAGCATAAACTGGATTTGACTGTTCCATGTATAATTACAAAATTAGGCATCTAAAGCTAGACTTTGCTGCTCAAATCTGTTTTTGGGTTAGAGGGGTGTTAACATAATTCCATAGGGAGCACCACACTGATCAGTTCATGAAGCTTTAAGTAAATTCATCAAATTTTAGGCATTTTAATATCAGATTAGCATGACTCAGAGAACTTTTATGTTAAGCACATGTACCAGTGTGATCCACCATGAATAATTTAGGCACCTAATTTAGGCACAGATGCACCTTTATTTCAGATGTTTAGCTTAGTGGATAAAAGATGGGAGCCTGTCTGTACTGCTAGACCCTAGGTGTACTCTCCAGGTGACAGAGCAGTTCACCTTTCAGGAGAATGATCCAGTGCACCTCATCTAGGTGTGTAAGTTGGCCACATGGGATCAAATAACCCATTACCTTATGAGCACCTAAATATTGGCGAATGCTTAAGATCCCAGGCAAATGACTACCTCGGCATTTACAGTACACAACCAAAGAACTGAGAGAGGTAGGGTGGGATTCAGCTTTATGTTTCTATTAATGCCAAAACTCATAGGTCTAAATGCAGGTGTCTGCATATGAACAGACTCCCACTTTGTGAGTGAAGAGCTTGCCAATACTAGTCAGGGACAAATCTTGTCAGTGGAGGGTAGAGAGCTGTCGGGCTGACCCCTGCCTGATGATTAATTTATTTTTTCCGTTTGCCTGGATTTAGTTGTGCAAACACAAGCATCTGTTTGAGATGCTCTACGTTATTCATCCTAGACTCGTTACCAGCTCAGAAAGGTGTGGATTTCCCATAGGTCCTGCTTCACATCTATAAGCTTGGTGCAAAGGTCTTGGATGCTTGGTGTCGGGCTGCCACTCCAATAGGGTCTAGTGATGCATCTGCCAACTCCATGAAGGTATTTTGAATATTCAGAGCATCTCACATATTGGTGGATATGTGTGACTGGGCAATGGATCTACCTCATTGCCTATACTGACTGGATACTGGGGCTCAATTCAGGCACCTTAACATTAGTGAGTTTTGAGATGCTCTAGCAGGTCTTGCCCAGCCTCTGGTCCAGGAGGGAGGCGATGACCTTTGTCATGCCTGTTGCAGATACCCCAGGGAGTATCTGTCTCAAATGACATCAGTGCTTGGGCAACACAACTGACTCACTGTCTACTAGCTCACCCACAGGCACCTATATTTAAATGCCTGAATTCACCTGTCTGAATTCGAAGCTGAATTCTACCATCATTACCAAACTAGCTCACCTGCTTCCCCAGGAGGGGGAATAAAAAAAAGTAGAAAAGCCTATATTGAATACAAACATCTTTGAACTGCTTTCTTTTCTTCAAAGGCCTGGTACAGATAGGGGAGCACACAGCCCAAGGTGTTTCTTGAGTGACAGCCTCTGCGAGGCAGTGGAGCACGTTCTGACGAAAGCATTTTGGTGTGTGTATGGGTAGAGTTAAGGCACGCAGAACTGGAAGCCACATCTTGGGACCACTTTCTGACAGCAGATTTGCTGCTAGCTGGGCAAAATGGTTGAACACAGCTGCTTTTGCTGCAGTTCTGCAAGTGGAGACACCTGGGTGAATTTTAAGCTTTGCTGCTGCTTCTGCTGTCATTAGCGATCTCTTTGTACGCCTGGACTTTACAAGAACTCTGTGCCCATTACAATCCAAAAAAGAGAAGTGCTATCGTGAATCAGTGTCTATTCTTTGCATCCTCACAGCAAAAAACCCCCCTAAAATAAAAACAAACACCCAGCTATCTTAACCCTCTGAGCATAGAGAAGACGGGCATTATTGTTTGTTTTTTTGCTGTTTGCTCCTTGCTCAGCTCTGTTAGGAGTTTAGTGTAATTTACATTGTTTTCTAAAATATTAATGTTTTCTGTTCCTCTTAGCCTTTCCACAGTTCTTGCTTGTCTCAGCAGACACAGCAAAAATGTCTTTTAGCACATCATAGCCAAGCCCCACAAAGCTTATTTAAAACCACTCTTTTTTTTTTTTTTTTTTAATATTCAGCTAATGTTTCAGGATGTCTGCTGCCTTTTCAAGTCTAAAAATGACTGATGAATCTTTCAGGCCATTTATATAAAAGCTATAGCTGTTAAAAATAAAAAAGGAGGACTTTTCTTTTTTTAAAATGACATCTGACATAAAAGGCAGCATTCTCCGCATTTTGCTGCTGCAGCAGCTGCATCCAGTACGGCTGAAGCATCCCACCTAGGCAGTAATGGAGTTTTTCCAGGTGTCCAGGACAGCAGGCAATACAGTACAATATATAGCACACTCTTACTCAGGCTGGACTGGTGGTAAGCAGCCATATCTGGTCCAGAAAGAGAAGTGCATTGGAAAATTGGCTTGCTTGGCTAACTAGATTAGCTCATCTGATTGTTTGCTCAGGAGATAATCCCCACAAGAGGCTTTCAGTGCATTTTTTTTTTTTAAATTTTTGCTCCATGTTGGAGCAAAGCTTGAGGAGGCAAAAGGAGAGGGAGAGAATGATTCATGTGTCAGTTCATCGGAAGGAAGAAGCTGCAAAAATAAACTAGAACCATCAGTTATGAGCAGGCAGTTTTCACATTTGCTGAGAGGTAGCTTTATTCAAGCTTTCACTACTGGTGCTAAATGTTTACCTTTGCCTACCTCCGGGTAAAGCACATTCAACTCACTCTCATTGCAAGCCTCGCTGGTCAGCAATGAGCACTTTTCCCGGGGCAGACAATACTCTGGCAATTCTTTCCTCCTGTCATAACATAAGCAACAATTAAAGGCGCTTGACTGGGGAAGTAGGTGTTCATCTATGCGTGACAGGAGAAGAAGAAAATTTCAGGCTAGCTGAGACCCTGTCCTGTGTTTGTTTTGGTTGAAATATCTTGCAGTTTTGTATTAGATGTTGAAAATTATATTGTTTCCTTTTCCTATTGTTTCTTACTTTTCTCTATTTTTTCTTTTTATGATTCTAATTACTATCTGTTTCACATATAATTCTATTTATTCATTATTATACCCAGAGGAGTGATAGTTTCCTCACTGAGCTCTAATCTCTTCCATAGATTACAGTCTTTCAGAGCTAAGACATATTAACATATTTATATTCATGGTAGCTAAGACATGAGCTCCACCTCTCAGATGGGTTTGTTGAAACCAGTTGGCTGAGCTGATTGAAATAATTCAAGATTCTTCTTCCAGGCATCAGAGTGCTGGGAGATTTGGTTACAGTTCTCACTTCAGTAACAGCCGCTTTGTTTATTCAGGGGCTAATACCTGGGATTTGGTACAACTCATTCTAAAGCCTGAATTTGTTAATTCTTTGGAAAATTCCTTAATTTCTGGAGAATAACTATATAAAGAGGTAATCAGCTGTTGCTAAGAATTTATCTGTATATGGGAAAAGAGTTAAATTTTTAAAGATTGGTAGTAATGATAGTTTTAGATTCTAAATATCTTAGAAAAAAGCTGTCTCTGTGTCTTGCAGAAGATATTCATTCTTTAAGCATAAAACGTTCATGTACTTTTATGAATACTGATATGATGGGGAAGCCCTACTGGGCATCTTTCTGAAAGGCACTTTTTCTGAAGTAGCTATTATTAATATTTTTGATATGGCTTTTTCAAAAAAGAGATTCAAGCACCTAGTAACTGTTTTTCAATTTCCACACCACTTAGTTTCTAGCTGAGGTGACCTGATTAAAAACCTTTTTCGTACAGTATCAACGGCATGCCAAGTGTCTCCTTCTGGAATGCCAAGCCGATCACTCCGTTGCCCCAAGATTATCTGCTAATTGGGGACGTTCATTTAGCTCTTGCTGGTCGCTGTAAATTAATCATGGCAGCAGAGTGAGACCTAGAGACTGCAACAACCACAAGTGACCTTGGTGTAACGCCTCTTTCAGAAGAAAGACTAACTTTAATTTCTATGATCTCAGTTTTGTAACTCTTTTCCCCTGTAAGAGCAGTATTAAAAGACGATGCGTAACATGAAGCACACAGCGTAGTGTGCGTATCTTCCATCACTATGGAATCTGAACACAAAAACAGCAATAATTTTCTTTCCCCGAAATAGCTAGCACGTTGTCTTCTTATCTGCAGTATTAAAGTCTAGGAAAAGATGAGGTGGCTAAACTTCTTTTTTCCATCAGGAGCTTTCGTCATATTCTCTGGAATGCAAAATGCAGCACTTCATATATCATAGAATAAAGTGGGTGCTTATGAGGGGTGACACAGTGAACACAAATGGGTATCTGCGTAGTGGCCAGATTCGGCCATCCTTGTTCTTGCTAACTAGTATTTGATACCAGATACTAAACAGTATGGGCAAAGGAACTTTTATTTTTCATTTTTTTATTTTTGTTGAGGTCAGGAGAAATGTCCCTGTTCATTAGTCAAGAGGTGATTTTGCACACACAATTAATTACTTTTCCAGTGATTCTTGGAGTAATAATTTTAACTTTGTTTCAAATATACCCACACCCATTTCCCATACCGTGACTATGGTTTCTCTTTGATATATTACTATTCTCTCTACCTGAAGCATGTACTGAATTATATTATTAAGACCGTGATTCTACATTTTCTTTGTGAATGTCGACGAAATAAAAACCGGACAGAGGAACACCGACTGGACCTATTTTCAGGGCATACGGTGAAGCTGTGGTTCCACATCCAGTGAAATGTCTGTGTTAAATTAATCAAGGACATTATCATTAGAGGACAGATTTTCTCAACAGCTCCAGAGCATTAATTTCAGAAGGCATCATCAAAATAATCAGGCTTCTCATAAATTAAATACTGCAAAAAGAAGATGAAAACCTGTAGGCTTAAAATGCACCTACTCAATTTGCAGCAAACTTAGTACCTGTACCAAGCCCTTAAGTACAGAAGCAAAAGGCATCTGAATAGTATTGGCCAGATGTGGTACAAATACTAGCACTGGTCACAGAAACCAAGGGGGATTTCAGCAGGTCTGTTTGACTATTCTTTTGTAAAAACAGCAGCACTCTTATTAGCGTGTGCATACTGATGTGACACACGGTAACCAGCTGTGAGCCCTGGCAACTCCATTTAACCACTACTGCACTCCTGCCTGGGGTCATAACTTGCAAAGCCCACCTACAAGAACAGATATTATAGAGGAAGATGAAAAAACCTTTTTATTTCTCTCTTCACCCTGTTCCTTTGTGATGAATACTGTAATAGCTTGACATTCCTGTTAGTTGTCTTCCTCTGAGTCCCCAGGGGTTTCCTCTGGAGCTGCGACTTGGGAACTGAGCAGTGACCTACAGGAATACCTGTGCTTTTGGATAGATTTATTCGTGTGCTCCTCAAAGTGTGTTCAATGGACTGCTACCAAGCCAAAGAGCCCTTTGCTCTACACTATAAAATGTATTCTTTTGAGCGTTATGTAGTACGGCACTGAGAAAGGATTTACACTCATTGTACATCTCCCCATAAAGTGCAGAAAACTCCCCATAAACTTTTCCTTATAAAACTGATTGGGTGTTGGGGATGGGTTCCGTCTATCTATCTCTCCATCCATCCACCCACCCATCTATGCAAAATGATGTCTAACAGGTTTGTGAGTTTTTTCCTGTGTAGTCTTGCTTTCTTGGAGTTGTTCATTCTAGCTGCTTATGTCTCTCTTTTTTTTGTTTTTGTTTTTCATTGCTCTGGCTCCGTTTATTTTACCAGGTAACAGAAAAATAAAGATTCTAGGCCCTGAGTGATGGAAAGTATCACTGCTGTCAGGAATCAGTGCTCACTGGACACTCAAATCCACAACTCCTCCTTTCTCCCCAGAAGCACAGGCTACTGCGGCAGACCTGAAACCTAACTGCTCTTGTCATGGCCCTTGAGCCAACCTCCCCGTCTTAAAAATGATAATCAGATCCTCTCCTCCATCAGCTGATGAATCCATATCGGTTCTCTTCAGACACCTGCTCATCTACCAGCACAAACCCTGTCACAAGCAGAGCCAAGCAAACTTCAGAGTTAAAACTTATGGAAGAATCACCATAAATAAGGGCAGACGACCACAGTTTCTCTAACGAAGCAACATCAGGTCAGGCCTTCTACACAAGATGAGTAGAAGGGTTGCGTTTATTAGCTATTTTTCTTTCTTTTCTTTTCTCTCTTTTTTTTCCCCTCAGCAAATAGCCATAAGCTTTGCCAGCCAATGGTAAATAGAGCCGAAATTCCAATCTCTTCTTCGTCCCAGCATGATAACCTAAGAGCGCAATTGCCTCACAGAGTGTCAGTCCCAACACAGGGATGCTAAATGGAGCTAAAGAGCGTTCCGAAATCTCAGTATAAATTATTCTTTTGGAGTTGGACCACCGAAAATTTTCTGTGTTCACATGCTAACACACTGCGCACGTTTATGGTGACTCATGCTCCAGCTTTAATGGCACCTTAACTCAGCTGAATCTCAGCTACAAGCTGCATGTGGACTATTACTTGTTCTTCCCATTTCCATTTCACTCTTATAAACAGTTTTGTAGAATACCCTCGATGTTGTTATTGCGTCAGGCCTGACGGGGATTTGGACTGAGTGCAGTGGAGAGGGGTGCACCTCACCTCGCCTTGGTGTGGCCGTTCCAGCAGTCCTCCTCGTTTGACGAACCAGCTGTCACACGTTCATCTTTGCAGATTGTGTAAGGTAATGCTGACCAAAACTTTTTAGAGAGCTTTAGCTTTTCTTTAATGTCTGTTACCTGATTAAGAGACAATCAGAGGGAAAACAGGTTAAAGACATCAGCCAAGTTAACTATTGCTTTGAATAATAGATTGTTTAATTCCTTAATAAATGATGGCGAAGGTTAAAGGGACTGGAGGTGCCACAACTTAAATTCCTAGATTTACAGGCAAGGCACAGTGCATTTGTGTTCAGAGATTACAAATAATCAAAGTCACCTTCAATGCACTGTTCCACAGGCAAGACATTAATAAAAAGTGTGTGTTACATCTTGTTCTTTCTATTCTCTGTTTGTCTAAGCTTTTCTAAATATACATCTTTCGAAGAATTAATATGCCTGGTAGTCTGCTGAATGTCAATTCAGTTAAACAGTGTTCATCAGATAAAACATCTCGCCCACCAACTTGGTCATGTCTTATATAAATATTATATTTAGATCTACATGTGCAGGTTCTAAAAAATGATGCAGTGCCAAAATGATGTTGAATTAATTTAAGATACATGGGCTGAATACATTGCAATACTTTCGGAACTCAGTAACAGTGAGAAGCTTGTGTATATACATGCATGCAGAGACTATATCCATCTTTGCTGTTAGATGTAGATACATATCTGTAGCTAGATATAGACTTCACTTTCAAGAAATGGTGGGCTAGAATTGGAACAGTTCCTTTAAGTTATAAACTCTTTCTTGAACAAGAAATTAATTCATCAGGTATTAGGCAGCAAGCAGGCACAAACTGAATTTCCAGCACCAACTGAATCAACTCTCTGGCTAAAATGTTATCAGCTTTTGTTTTGCATTTGCTTTACTAGAGTGGAAAAATCTACAAGAATAGATAGAAAACACAACAAAGGATAGACTACAAAGGATGAATGTTGCCACTGTTGTTCTTATGGAAACATGCACTTCACTTTAAGTTGTAATAGGATTTAGGGGAGCTTGCTGAATAGCTTTCAAAGGAAAACACTGAACTTTATTCTTTAAAAAACAAGAAATAAAAGCTCTCCATTGTTCCACTCAGTTTTAAGATTGGCTTTTAGGTTGTTGAGGTACAATATTGTACTTGGCTATTTATCTCTTTTATCTTTTGTTTTGAAGACAAGATAGCTCTCCGAGTAAATGGTTCACACTGCTTTGTAGTGCTTAAACTCTGTGGAATGTCACTTTATATGCCAGGAGATGGAAACATCCAAGGATGTTATTTCAAGAAGCACCATGTGCATTTTCATCTGTGAAAAATAAGTAGGACAACATTTGGCCATATGAGTTGTTGATAGCGTTTCTTGCCATGATATAAATCTTACAGATCTGCTCCATGCCCCTTGCCAAGCCCTAGTTGCCTGGTTTTCATATCACAGAGGCATTTGCGAGCCTTTAAAGTCTCAGCAGAGACGCCCTGTCAAGACAAAAATCAAACTCCAGTTTACAAGCCTTCACTAGGTAAGCCTTCAGCAGCAGTGGGCACAGTATTAGGATATCTGCCTTTTCTGGTGGTCTCTGGTCCATGGGAACAGTGTCTTTGGGCAATGGGCAGAGAAGAGACCTTTCTCTTCCCCTTCAGCTTAGGCCAAGAGCAAAAAGCTGAGGGTCGCTCGTGATACAGCTGATCAACACAAGCAACATGGTTAAGCTGCCAGGTGCTCACAGATAGGTATGTAAACTCCTGTTAGGCTTCAGTCTAGTAAAGCAGATGAAGTCCTACACAAGCTGCTGAAAGGGTAGGGAAAAGAGTTTGCAGGAAGGCGGGTCCATTCAGATAAGCTCTGGGAACGTGAGAGATGAGGACAGATTTTCTCATTTATTGCCTATGCCTGGATAACTAGTTACATAAATAATCTGACAGATATCGATGGTAAGTAATTAGTTTTCAGAGCAGCAACCTCATTGCTATCTGGAAGTTGTTTTAAGCTATTCAAAACTCAGATGTTAATAGTTATATTCATATTTCTACAGTAATCAAATTAGAGCTGGTGCTCTAGGACTCCAGGCTTCTGTTTTGAACCACAAGTGAGTCAATACACATCAGAAAGTGGTTTTTTTCCCCTCAGTCCTTGTAAAGGCTGTAATTTGGGGTACAAACCTTGTATTTTCACAGAATTCAGCGAAAGAACCTAGAGAGGTTCTCACACCTCACAGGCTGCACAAGCTCAGCAGAAATTCTCTCTGAAAATTAAAATGAGGACTCCCGTTCCTCAGTCACTTATGAGGATATTAAATGATGTACTCTGTGTGTGCTGCATATAGACAATGAATCATTAAATTTCCTAACAATAAAGATTTTTCTGCATTGCAGAAGTACATCTGGTAAGGCAATAAGGTCATGATCCTTGTCAAATGATAGCTAATTAAATCTCCCAAACGTCCCCATGAGGTGTCATTCCCATTTTGTAGACTGGGATGGGGGAACATTTACATGACTCACACAAAGCAGTGACAGTAAAGACTACAGCTGAGAGAGTGGTTACCATGTGCAGACCTCTCTAGTTGTCTCTTGAATTCAGGTGCATTTTTAGCACTTTTTATCCACCTCATATATTTTTGCTTCATATCTATCCCCTTCTCCCTCTACTGCTTCGTTTCACCAATGAGTTCTAAATGTTTTGTAGGCTCAGCCTGCAAAATCTTGTCCTTTCATGCTCCGTTACTGGACTTCTGTTAACCCTCTCAACTTTTGGTAGTGGACTTCACGCATCTACCTCAATGGTTCCTTGATCCTCAACCTGACACTGGTTTTCTGGAAGTTTAGTGCCACTGCTGAGGGCCTTGAAAGAGGAGTTATGAATGAATACCTATTGATTCAGCTCCTCTTTCAGGTGGTTGATTCAGCTTCTCTTTCAAGGGCGTAGGCTGATGGTCATGCTCACTTATGCATCATGAACATTCAGGCAGGCAATGACTTTTAAATATTTTTAATACAACTTTAAATGCAGAACAGAATTAGATGACATAATGCCTGCTATGCTACCATGATATGTAACCCTTCAGCTTGTGGTTTGCAGTGGCTTCAATTCTGGGATCACCTCAAGCATAGCCACAAAAAGTCTTTTATTAGTCCCCACAGTTATGCATGTTCCACAGTAAATTGTTTTGATCATTGCCAGCATCTAAAAAAATATGTAACAGACATACAATCCCTTGAAAATGAGATAAAAGCCACTACGGTTTCAGTTAACATTGCTTGCTTGTGATTTATGAAGTCAAACTACTGTATCCCCCTTAGTGACCTGTGGCCTTGTAAACGATTCCTTGGTATTTCCTGTTCTTTGAATTAAAGATTAACTTTAAAGCTAGGTTAGACTTCTGTGGAAACATTTAAACAAAAGACTAATGCAATTTTGATATTTTACATATTTCATTTCCATTTTCCCCAGCATAGGTTTACTCAGATTAAGACAACCAGATCTCTTTGGTTGTAGTTGGCCCAGCTATCTTCCTGAAGTAGCCCAGGCTTTATTTTGAATCAGTAATGCCTTTGGGCATTACTTTGAAGGTGCCAAATCAGTTCTGCATTGCAATATTTTATCTCTCACAAGAAAAGGGATATACAAAGTACCATGCAAAGACTTACATTTTTAATTTGTGGGATAAATAGAAATTAAAATTGTTAGTCTACCCTTCCTCTACAATTGTTAACAGAAGAAAGGTGTTACTGAGTGGGTGAGAAAAGTTTGCATCATTTCTAAAGGGAAATTCATATCCAGAGTCAGGGAAGCATTATAGTTACCTAGCCTACATTGATAAATCCAGTTCATTTCTTATTTCTGCCATTGATTTCTTAAGGTGGCATGGAGTTATCACTTATGTAATTCCTCAGCAGACTTTAAAACATATCCCATGAACTCAGTTCTAATCCTACCAGCACGGGCTCAATTTTAAGATAGAAATAAAGTTTATCAGCTTTTCTGACTTCTTTACTCACCTTGCATTCAAACAAGAGAAAGCGAGCTAAAAAGGAAGACCACTGTTATAACAGGAATCAAATCCTAGAATCCCTTGTAGGGATTTGGGAGGCCTGGGTAAACTGAAGACTCACCAGGATAATTAAGACAAGCATTGAAAAAAATATGCAGAACTGAAAATGAGATGACGAAATTTTATAACGTAGGAAAGGTCCAAAGAAGATACTTCATTCTGAAGGGGGCAGCCAGTTGCCATAAAATCTTATTTAGTTTATTTTCCCATGGAAACTTGCCTTTTCAACAGAAGGACAATATACTCCCAGAAGCAATGTGGACCCAAAAGCAAATTTTAAAGGTGGGGCCCTGAAATAATTTTTTAAAAGTAAATTCCCTTATCATCTCCTTCATCCCCTGGCCGCAAGTCCATCTCACAGTCCTATCTAGTTTTGACATCTGTACCTATATAATCCCTACTCTCACAGATAGTCATAGGAATATCAGAATCAGCTAAAACAGTGTTCAAAGATGCTGGAATGTGTGCAAAACTGGCCCTGGTTCAATGCAATAAATGTAATAAAATAATATTGAATCTTGCCTGTGTTAAGAAGAAATGGCATAATTAACTCTCTTTTCTTCTTCTCCCCGACATTCTTGCATCAATGCTCTTTTTGTTTATTCTGCAAGTTTTGGAAGATTTTCTGTTTGAAATGTAAGCAGGATACTCAGCTTGTCTTTCTGTCAATAACTTCTCTCCAGGGATGCTCAGAAACATCTCAATTCAAAATCCCGATAAGAGTTAAATCTTTATGCCCTGGAAATATGCACAAATGTTTCTTGCTGCTTCCTGGATATTGCCTCCCAGAGCTACTGGGGTGCCACTCTGGATGATGTGCTGTGGGTAGGTATGTAACAGTGTAGACACTCAGATGTTTTACGTGGATGTTTGTGATGAGGCACTGTCATTTCAGGGACTCCAGGCCTGTAGGTGAACTGTGTTTTTACTGGTATATCACACAAGCACAATCGCAACATCGAGCAAGCAGAAAAAGGTGCTAGGTTTTGTCATAGAGAAAAGACCCAAAGGTAGCCTTCACCAGCAAGATTCATATATGTGAA